TATATAAATGTAAGACAAAATAACTATAAATCACTGAGTTTGGGAGAAAAGTAGTACTAAGTAGTTGGTTGCTGATTTTGCCTTTGTTAAGCTGATGAGTGTTTCCAGGGAGCGATCAAGAGCATGTGTGGTTGGGAAGAGGCAAGGTACAGTGGAAGGCTCCATAATTATATAGCATTGTTAAAAGCATGCTGGAACAGCTACCTAGTGAATGATCCACATGCAAAGCAATTGGATATTAGCAACTTTATTGGCTCAGGTAGCTGAGTAAGGCATTCAGAGGTTAAATAGTTTGCCAGAGGCCACCCAACAAGTGTGTGGTTGAGCCAGATTTAGAACACAGTTCTAATTAGCTCCTGACTTCCAGCTTTGTGCTGAGGTTCACCACACTGCACCCACACATTGGAGTTCACTTTGTCAGAGGAGGGAACACTTTATATTTTGACCTGTCTGCATATGTTACTGTTGTTTTTTTTTTTTATTAGTTAATTCAAAATCAAATGAAGCAAGCTAGTAAGAGTCATTCAGTTATAGACATTAAATCCTACTCAAGGGCAGTAGAGTATGTGAAAAAGTTGAAATTCCAAAGAGAGTAAGACTAGAAAATGGAGCCCAAAAAGATGAAAATGAAGAGATTGTATGGGAGGGTAAGGAAGATATTGTGGCTGCCGCCAAATACCCCAGAGCTTACAGTGGGATCTTGAGAGACTGGCTGATTTATTTCAGCACAGTGAAGCAAACCAAAGGTGTTGGGTAAAAAGGAGAGATTCCCCAGCTTGAACAGCAGCATGGGGAGTCAAACAGCAAGGTGGTATGTGTGAGGTAGATAGGACACGAAGGGCCATGAATGTCATACAAAGAGAAATAACACATTCATCTAAAATGTGTCTATGTAGTATGTATGCATGTCAGAGAGAGAAAGAGAGAGCGAGCAAAAGAGAGAGAACCATATGTGCTTGAGATACCCTAGTGAGCAAAATGATCATAAATTTGTGGACTTCTCAAGATTTGAGGGGGGGAAGGCGGGGGGAGAAACACTAATATTAAATAAATAAGAAAATTAAATGATATATTAGAAGATGGCAAATGCTTTGGGGAAAAAATAGGGTACGTCAAGCCAGGCAGAGATGGCTCAACGGTTAAGAGCACTGACTGCTCTTGCAGAGGATCTGGGTTTAATTCTCAGCTAACAACTGCCCATAACTCCAGTTCCAGGGGAATCCAGTGCCCTCTTCTGACCTCCACTGGCAATATATGACATGGGTACACTTATATACATGCAGGCAATACACCATACACACATAAAAAAAAATGCAAACATGTACGCCATGTTGATAGTATGTACTCTTTTATATGATATGATGACAATGGCACTTCCATCCTGTGAGTGTCCTCAAAACACGTAGCTCTGGTTTAACCATGAGGAAAACCTTTTTTTAAAATTTGTTTTTATATTTATTTATTTGGTCTTTTTGAGGCAGAGTCTCCCTGTAGCCCCAGCTGTCCTGGAACTCACTATGTAGACCAGGCTGGCCTTGAACTCAGAGATTTGCCTGCCTTTGCCTCCTAAGTGCTGGGATTAGAGGCATGTGCCACCACACCTGGCTATTTTTATTTTTATTTTATGTGTATGCATGTATTGCCTGCATGTAGGTAAGTGCACCCATGTCGTGCAATGCCCATGGAGGTCAGAAGAGGCTGTTGGATCCCCTGGGACTGGAGTTACTGACAGTTGTTAGTTGCCATATGGGTGCTGGGACTCGAGCCCTGGGTCTTCTGCAAGAACAACCAGTGTTCTTAACCACTGAGCCATCTCTCCAGCCCCCTATTTTTATTTTTTTATGTATGATTGTTTTGCCTACATTTATGTAAGTGCACCCATGTCATGCAATGCCTATGGAGGCCAGAAGAGGGTATCGGATCCCCTGGAAATGGAGTTACAAGAGGTTGTTAGCTACCATGTGGTGCTGGGAACCAAACTGGCATCTTCTGTAAGAGTAGCCAGTGCTCTTAACCACTGAGCTGTCTCTCCAGCCCTGGAAATTTTTTTTTTTTTTTTTTTTAGCTCACATGAAGAGGCTCAGGTGATTGCTTAGTTGGTAAAGTGCTTGTTGTGTAAGCAGGAGGACCCAAGTTTGGATCCCTGGTTCCATGTAAAAAGCTGGTGTGGCTACATGGCTATAACCCTAGCACTGGGGTGGGGACTGGGTGGAGACAGGTGGACTCCTGGAACTCATTGACTGGGCAGCCTAGCTAATCATGGAACTCCAGGTTCAGTAAGAGACCCTGTCTCAAGAGAGTAAGATGAAGAGCAATCGAGGAAAAACACCTGACCTTGACCTCTGGCCTCAGTATGCACACACACTCACACACACACACACACACACACGTGTATGTGCACTCACACATGCATGAACACATACAGACATGTACATATACCACACATACATAAAACTAATCACACATGAGGGGCATTCAATACATACCTGACCAGTACTCCTCACAGCTATCAAGGTCATCAAAATTTGAGAGTTGGTGACAGTCAAATGTCATGTGGCATGTTGAATTTGAGAGTTGGTGATAGTCAAATGTCATGTGGTATGTTGAATAGGATCCTAGAACAGAAAAAGGACCTGAGGAGAAAAGTGAGGAAATAGGAATAAAGTATGACTTTATTTAATAATGTATCAGTGTTGGTTCATATATTATTACAAAGATGCCATACAGGATATTACATAGAAGAAAATGTGGGGACTATCTGTGCTATCTTTGTAATATTTCTGTAGATCTAAAATTTTTCTAAAATGAAAAGTTTATTTCCAGATCAAACAAAACAAAGAAGCAAAGTAAGGGGGTACCAAGAACCCAGGCCAGACATGTGTGTCATAATTTTAAATGGTATAGTCAGGATAGGTTGGACTGAGAAGGCAACATGAATAGTCACAGTCACTTAAAGACAGAGTTTAAGGTAGGCATAGTTGTACACATCTGTAATCCAAGTACTTGGGAGGCTGAAGATGGAGTATCACAAGTTCTGGGTCAGCCTGGGCTACATAGTGAGAAGAGAGAGAAAGTTGGCCATGTTGTAATCTGGCGAAACAGCTGAGGCAAAGACTCTGAGGTGAGAACATTCAGCATGTTTGGGAAACAGCATAAACAAGCATTTGGGACCTCTTTATCTCTCTGGGCCTCAGTGTCATCTTCTGTGAATGATTGGCAGTGAAAAGATGGTTTTGAAAGTTGCTTCCTTGTCTAACAGTCTATGGTTTGGGACCATGTGGGTCAGAAGTGTCCTACAAGCCAGTAGAATTGGCCATCAGTGGATATGTGCTTCTAATCACCCTACCAGTTACCCAAGCAGAGAGCACAAAAAGCATATTCCTAGACATTTTGTTAAATCAGGAAATAAGTAACCACCTTGAAGGTATTTACTCTCTCTAGCATGATTTAAAGACTGCATCTTCAACATTTGTAAAGCCCTGTATTTGATCCCTAGTAAGTAAGCACTGATGCATGTATATACACACAGTCACTGTCACTTGACAAGAGAAGTAACCACAGAGTTCCTATATATCCCTGATGCACCAAAAAGTTTTGGATCTGAGGGTGTTGCTTGTCCAGCATGTTTAAAATCCCAGGTTTGATCCCCAGCACCACACAAAATCAAGGAGGTGGAGGCCAGAGAATCAGGAGTCCACGATAAGCTTTGGCTCCTGAGTGAGTTTGAGGTCAGCCTGGGCTACATGAGCCCCTGACTCAAAATAAATAAATAGATATATGAAATAAATGTTTGTATATACTAGTTTAACTTACATATGTTAATTAATATATTTTGGTGTTATTTAAATGCAATTTAATAACCTAAAAACTAAAATATTGACTAGCCATAAAGTTTTTGAAAATAAAGTATGTCCATCTATTTTTGAAGTAATTTATAATGGTATTCTTAGTTGCCAGTTTTATCTACTTATAAGCAGTAAAGAGGGAATTCAAAGCATTGCCTAATTTCATTTTTTTATTTTTACTGAAGATACACAGGTATGTGTATGTGACTGCTGGATACTTGAAATGTGGTTAGTGTGATTGAGGAACTTTAGTTTTATGGGATTTAAGCAGCCACATATAGCCGTTGTTCACTGTATTGAACTATATTAGTCAAGATCTGCTCTAATTAGACCTAACACGGAAGTCTAGCACTTCCCAGAGAGTGGATTAGTGCGTATGTAGGAGTCTTCCTGCCCAGGTTGAGCTCTGAGGTTTGGTACCTGAAGTCCAGAGAGAGGAAAGGATGAACTGAATCTACCTCAACTCTGCCATGGCTTATAGGCTTGTAGACTTTCCCCTGAAACTCTGCCATAGGTTCATAAACCGCTGTCCCCTAGTCCCCAGGCTAGACTACTCTGAGGCCAGTCCTGAAGCCAGGGACTTTGGCATTTGAAACCTTTTTCCAGGAAGATGGGAGAATTTTGAGAGTCAGAGTCATCGTTAGGCTTTATCTAATATAACCCCAGAAAACACAACACAGTACTGCTAGCATTCAGGTTTAGTCAAAGAACAGAGCCTCCTTCTCCACTTGCCCCTCCGTACCTTTACACCCAGCAGACCATGAGTGATTTTAAGGGTGTAAAAACATTCATGACTTTCAGATTGATTACAATTTAGGTCTAGCCACAGAATTGCTAGTGTCTTTGCTTACTATTTTAGGTCAACAGATCAGAAATTTTTGCCAGGGCAGTCTTTTCATAACTCTCTCAAAGGCTTCTCTGTGTGAACAAAAGCTGTTGGCCTTATTTCCCTTATCACGTGCTCCACCCTGCTCTGTTTAAGTTTTCATACAAAGCAGTGAGTATTCCTGACAATGGAAGGTCTGTATAGGTGTTGTTCCCCTTGTGCATGGCTGCTGTAGAAGAGGTGTAAAATGGGGAAAATGATTGAGCAGGCTGTGTACTTCAGAGTACAATGGACCACATGCCAATGTTGTCCTGTTTGTTTCCTTCCAGGAAATCAAGGATTGGCACTGCATTGCTTTGACAAATACTGCCTGATGTCTTCACTAAGGTCTTTCTGAAGAGTGAGCTCAAGGCAACATCTTGTGTTTGGCCTCTCTACTCAACCAAATGAAGGTTCCTTCCATTTGTTTCCCTAGCTATATTGCTCTACCACCTCTCTGTTAGCTAAGTATTCATGAAACTCTTTCCTGAACCAGCATAGAAAGCTTAGGCCACTTGAACCCTGTGTCATGGAAGCCTTGGAAGTAGATGATATCAGCCCCGCCTTAGAGGTCACTGAGGATTTCTTTAGTACTTTTGATAGCAAGCTAGAAAAGGCAGTCCAGCAAGCAGAGGTCTATGGGGTTCAGGAAGTCCCTGAACTGGTGGGGCATGAGGTACTCAGTAACATAACAGACAATGGTGCTTTGAGAAACGTTGCTACCCTGGGCAAGGGGGCCATGGTTTGGGACCACTGTAAGAGCAGGCTTTTAGAAACCAAAGCTCAAAATGTCTTCCCTGCCAAAGAACAGCTTATGGTTCAGAGAGGCACAGCCCCAGATAACCTTTCCTGGATGGAACAAAAGGAAGCGTCAACCTTTCATTTTTTCAACATCTGTCAGCGCCGGAGGGACAGACCTCGTTCTGTGAATGACTTATTGGATGAGACCACTACTTTCAAGCCAGGTCACGCTAGATCAAGGTCAGATATTACCCATGTGGACTGGAGAGTTGTTCTCAACACCATACCTTTGCAGCAGCAGCAGCCATCTCTTCAAGGCCCTCACTTTGCCAGACAGTCTTTTCTGTTGCCCTCACCAAGTAAGGTCAGAGATGCTCAAGGAAATACAGGTATGTTTTTATTTCTGACTTCCTAGTGAACAGTTGTTGTCTTTTTCTTTGTCTCCCTCACATCTGCCTACTTCCCAATGTCCACACCTGACTTTGTCTTCTTCCATACTTTGGTGCTTTCCCTTGCCTCTAATCAGCTATCTTTTTATCTTCTGAAGGGGTATTTAGTGAAATGACAACTTATCTTGTATGTTAGAATATTCTTCCACTTAATGTAACATTTCCCTCTGAACGTTATGTGTTTATTCCTTGCTTATTCATATCAGGAGATGTTTATTGGATCACACCTTGGGCTTAATTAACTTTGTTCTCTGGTGGATTTCAGATGTGTGAAGAAACACACTGATCTGTAAAACTTTTCACCTAGCTAAAGAGATTAGACACCAACGAAGGTTCAAGATGTTACTCAGTAATGGGAGACAGTAGATGGTCAATTGGAATGTTTGTCTTTATATATTAAGTGAGTGGCAGTAAGTCTGAGGACAGAGGAAAGAGAAGGCATAGTAGACTGGGCTGGTTAGAAAGAGCTTGCAACGGGCCACGAAATGAATGGACCTTTGAAGACACGAAGAAGTCATGAAAGGCCACAGTCAAGATTGTAGTGTGAACAAAGGTGAGAAGGGGCTAGGGGTGTAGCTCAATTGTAGAATACTTGCTTAGCATGCACAAGGCCCTGGGTCCAATCTCCAGCACCACAGGTTTGGAAGAAGAGGGGCAGGGGTGAGGAGATGGGCAGCAGAGGAGAGGAAGAAGATCTTTGTTAGTAGAGGGAAAGAACCCATAGCCCTTGGACAAGATGATAGGACCTCCTATACAGGACTATGAGTTTCATTTTCCCTCATAGTTTATACATACATGTGTGCATCTGTGTGTGTTAAACTTATGTACTAAACATTCTATTCTGTGCCACCTTTCTGTTTATCCTAGCACTTTCCTGCAAGATAACATCATTTTTGATGATTATCAATTTTTATTATTGATTCTTCAATCACTGTGCTCAATTCTTAATTTAAATGGCTTCTCAGGTCAGGTGTGGTGGTGCATACCTTTAATCCCAGCACTCGGGAGACAGAGGCAGGCAGAACAAAGTCCAGCCTGATCTATGTAGTGAGTTTCAGGTCAGCTAGGGCTACAGGAAGCTCCTGTCTCAATGAATAATAATAATAATAATAATAATAATTATTATTATTATTAACATTGTGCATGGAAAAGATGTGTCGACAAACAGCATGAGTAACCCAGTCCTACTTTGGGTAACATTTATTTATTTTCTTTTGTGTGTGTGTGTGTGTGTGTGTGTATGTGTGTGTCTTATTATTTTTTAAAAGTTTGGCAGTGCTAAGGACTGACTCCAGGGCCTTGGCACGCTAGGCAAACACTCTACCACAGAACACCTCTGTCTTTACTCTCTCTTTTTTTTAATTTTAAATAATTTATTGAGAATTTCATACAGGCATAGAAGCATATAAGGTGTTTTGATTAAAACCATGCCCACTCCCTCCCCTCCAACTCCTCCCATATCTCCCCATCACTTTTTTCTCATAACTTCATGTACTCTTTCTTCTTTTTTTTTTTATGGGGCTTTTTGCTTCTCTAACATTCCCTCCTCTGAAGAGGTAACCCTAAAATCTTTTAAGGATTAGATAAGAGCTCCCAAATACTTTCGACATTTTTGGCCTTTGGAATGGAGTATGTTGCTAAGAGGCCCAAGGACATTTTGACTTTTAGCCAAAAAACTGGCTACTTTTCTTTGAGGTCTTTTTACCCTAACTGCCTAGCCAATTCCTACCTCCTATTCTTATCACACCATCCTCTGAAGAGGTTACCCAACTTGCGGATAGGGAATTGGGATGCAGACTGTCCTTACTCTCTTACACACTTACTGCTGTTTTTGAATTAGCATCTATCTCTGTCCTTGCTTAGTTGTCAACTGATGTATTTACCACTTGTGCTGGATAGCTTTAGTGTCAACTTGACACACCTGGATTGAGGGAGCCTCAATTGGGGAATTGCCTCCATTGGACTGGCCTGTGGTCATGTTTATGGGGCATTTTCTTGATTGTTGAGTGATGTGGGAGGGCCCAGCCCACTGTGGGTGGTGCCACCCCTGGGCAGGTGGGCCTGTGTTGGGTAAGAGAGCAAGCTGAGCAGGGGCCAGGGGAGCAAGCTAGTAAGCAGCATTCCTCCATGGCCTGTGCTCCAGCTCCTGCTTCCAGGTTCCTGCCCTGAGTTCCTACCTTGGGCTCCCTGATGAACTGCAACCTGGGAGATGTAAGCTGAATAAGCCCTTTCCTTCCCAAGTTGGTATTTGTCAAAGTGTTTTGTCACAGCAATGGAGAACAAACTAGGACACCACTTTAATAAATAAGGTTAATTTATAAGTGTAACTAAGGCAAGAATATAGTTTGGTATATAGATTTTAAAAATGCAAAGCTTCCACATATAATACAAAGTCATCTTTTAAAAAAATTCGTTTTTTCCCTGTTCATATTCACAACTTGTCATCCCCTATCTTTTCTTTTGACTCTTAATCTTTGATAACAGCTAGCTAGGTATAGACCATAGGAACAAAAGAAAAGAGACATTGTAAAGCAAGGGTGTGGTGACTGATTAGATATTAGGGGGACAGACATGTTGCTGTGACCATAGTCCTGGTAGAATTGATAGCTTTTCGTTTGATCTGTTACATTTCATGTACAAATAGGTAAACTATTTATTTAGCAAATAACCCCAGTATATTTTCTGTTTCTTAGAATTTACATGGAATTTTGTCATAAGCCACCTTAACCATTTGTAAATTCTTGGCATAATCCAGATGAAAAGGATGCCATATTTATGTTTTTTTTCCTATTCTGATTGTATATTCAGGAACTGACATTCTTTAACTCTCTAAAACCCTCATCTTTTCCCTTGAGTATTTGACAATCCAGGATTGTTATTCTTTATTTCTCAATTTTTTAAAACAGTTAAATATTAATTATAGTGAAATCTGAGTAGTGATTTTGAAAAGTAAATTATAACATGTGGCCTTACAGGTATTGATATATTATATCCTAGTCACTGTTTGGGCATCCCAATAGGAATAGGAAAATTTGGGCAAAAGCCATGGCAGGTTTCTCACACCTTTTCTCTCCAGGAAGCTCTGGAGAGCAGGCAAGGTGTGTCATGTTTTGGTTTTTTGTTCTTTGTTTTTCTCACTAGGTGAAGAGCAAGGGTACGCAGTGGCCACAGTTATTAGGCTGGGCGTAGAGAAGCATCTAGACGTGGTTGATCACGCAGCCTGATAATTGTAATTCTCACCTGGATACATGCAGAGAATGGAAGTGAACTGACCCCATAGTTTGGAAGCAGAAACCAGCCACTCTATCCCTGGGGTCAGGGTGCTCCTTCAGGGCTAGTTCCCAGTGACAGAGCCGCTCAGAGCACAGCAGACACAGAGATAGCAGTAAGGTACAAACTGACCTTTAGGAGTTTGCTGCATCTTCCGACTGTCCTATTAGAAGTTTGTGAATGCATTCTGGAGATTATTGCTTCAGCACAGGCAGTCCAAAGCTGACTCCTTGAGAAGGAAAGTTGGCCAAGCTACTGAGTAAAGGGTAATCCAAGGGATCCAGGCCCATAAGGTATGACTTGAATCCAATCTAATTACGACAATGTGCATTATCTAAAAATGACTGGTTAATAATGTCAAAGGGTTAGGTCACAAAGTGATAAAAAGGAATAGATCTTAGGGCAGAGTGGAGCAGTTACTCTAAAGAACCTCAAGTAAGTAGGTGGTAGAGACCAAAGCTTCCCTACGAGCAATTATTTTGACGTCCTCATGTCTGCTGCACCCTGAGCATCTGCATCACTCTAAGGCTTTGACTCTACCATCACAACATCTGACTTCTAGTCCTAACACTAATCTTAATCCTACAAAGGTATGCTGTTATCTAGTGTAGACTAGTGTTTATACTTAATGCTCCTCCTCTCTGTGTCACTGTCATGCTGTTCATCAAGGAACTTTGAGGGTGCATTCATAGGTGCCAAGAAATTCCTCAGAGCATAAAGTAGAGGTGTGGTGGCACACACCTTTAATCTCAGCACTCACTTTAATCCCAGGCAGAGGCAGGGAGATCTCTGTGAGATCCAGGCCAGCCTGGTCTACATAGTGAGTTCAGGCCAACAGGGAGACCCTGTCTCAACCAAAAACAAAACAAAACAAAAAACCATAAAACAAAGAAAACCAAAAGAGAAGATAGAGTTCTGACATCACAGATACAATTGTTTGAACTAACCCTGACTCATGGCTGTATGGGAACTAATTACTACATTCAGATCAGTAATTGTAGATCATGACAGAAACATTAGGTATGGTTGAAATTTTTTAACAATAAAAGATTTCTGGGCAACTTATAGCTCTACTTCTGGATGAACTGCAGTGATAATTTTAAAACTTAAAAAATGTAAAGAAATCTTTTGTATTCACTGTAGAGCTCTGAAACTCAGCAAACTGCCAGAATGGAACTTCCCTTTTCTCCCTGCCTGTGTTCACATTTTCATCTGCTTGGCAAGGGCAGTGGTCAGCTGGGCTTTTGTTTCCATAGATTCCACTCTCTGGTGACCTGGTACTGGTCCTAGGCTTATATTTTCTTGTTCTGAGTACTTTAGGAGAAGGTCTCAAGCAGAGATTTTCTTTAAGGCTGGGAAAACCACAGCAGTGCAGCTCCTTTATCCCAGGCTTTATGCTACTGTTTCAGTCCCCCCCCCCCACCTTTCACTTTTAAAAAAGACAGATTTGGGACTTACACTAAAATGACTGCTTTTTCAATAATGATGTTTCTCAAAGCTCTAGAGCCAGTTGAGATGGGAATATTCCTGTGGGCTTAGAATAAGTGAGGTCACCAGGACACTGTCTCTTGCTGAATTTATGATTCACCCTTCAACAGATTAGTCAGTACAAAGAAGTTGCTAAATAGGTCAGAGAAAGTTGATTTTGTATGGTCATATAGCTTCCACTG